GTATACTCATATATGCGATGTATGCTACATACTAAAACGACTCGATTATGGCCCGTTTCACGCATGGATACTCATATATGCGATGTATGCTACATACCAAAACGACTCGATTATGGACCGTATTCTCAATACAAGTGGTTTAGATAGCATGACTTTGATTGTCCACTAAACCACCCGCTGTCTGCCCTTGATACGACCCGAATATATACAGGTGGAGCAGATCAGGCAGAGATTGGAACCTGTGTTGCTGTGCATTGACGAATACATAGCCGACGAAGAAACAGCACCAGTCAATCAAAACCACGAGGAGGTGGAGAATGTCACAGGAGCAAATCAAACCAGCGCGTTCAGGGCCAGTGTCAAAAACACACTTACCAATGTAGTGTCAAATCATGAGTATGCTCTCCCCAACCGTCTCGCGTTGCTGCAGATTCTCACCGATAAGCGCTACTACGAGGACGATGATACGTGTCAGTTGGTGGCTCTGTATTGCAAGATTGATAGTCTGTGCAGAGCCGTTGGATTGAGCCTGGAAGACATTTCCTCGGGTGCACCAGGTGGGCTTTGATATTTCTACTTTGTGTGTGTGCGTATGTGTGTGTGTATGTATGTGTGTGTGTATGTGTGTATGTATGTGTGTGTGTGTGTGTGTGTGTTTGTGTGTGTGTGAGCGAGCGAGAGAGAGAGTGTAAATATACATGTGTGTGTTTGTGTGCGTGTATGCGTATATCGGTGTCTTTGCGTGTGTGAATATATATATATATGTGTGTGTTTGTGTGCGTGTAAGTGTATATTGGTGTGTGCGTGTAAGTGTATATTGGTGTGTGCGTGTGCGTGTTTGTCTCTCTTAGTGTCTCTGTGCGTGTGTTTGTGCGTTTCCTCACCCTTGTCTTTCCTTTGGCACCACATGCATGCCAATCATTAAAACTCAGTTCCACACTACGACAGCCATGCAAGATCACCTTTTAGATGATTTGAATACGCTTTGAGATTTATATGAGTCATATGAGCTACTGTGATACGCTCGAACCTAATGTATACCATTTTTATCCTGCAGAATCAACGGATACTACGGCTTCAGAGTCCATAGGAAGCACGAATACGCAGATGTTGGCGGACATTCCATCGCGTGAACACATGCTATCATCATTACTAAATACGGATGGTGTGAGCCAAAGCCCCGAGCAGCTGGCTGCGCTGATAGGGATTGTAGCGCTGCTGTGCGAGCACGAAAACGCCACAGATGGCACTATGCATGCCACCAATACCAATGACGCAAGGAAAGCGGTGCAGAGCGAGACGGATGGGGCCGTACCGAGACACATATACCGGCCGTTTTGGAGAGATCTGATTGGTTTACACGCTGCGCTGGTGGAGGACCAAACCGTAGTACTCAACTGTCGCAGCGCGATGTCGACCATTGTGCCCGGCCAGTCGGTGATGGAGTGTGATGATGATATGCGTGTTCTGAGTACGTTGCTAAAGAAGGGCCAGACCTGTGTTGCGGTGCAGTATGCATTCATCGCGGCAAGCCAGCATGCACATACACCGGCAGATACAGGTACGGACATGTCTAAGAGAAACACGAACAAAGTAAAGTCGAGGAAGGGCGTGGATAGTATAGGCGATAGTATCGCATGTCTGGGTAACGATGCGGTGATGTTGGTGGAGCGGGTTGTGCCAGTAATGCTGCTGCTGTCTGCGGAGGAAGCAAGCGTGTGCGCGCGGAGAGACGAGGTGATCAGTATGCTAATGCTATCTGCTGACAACCCATACGTGATATATAACGGTACTATACACACACCTACCGATGCGAAGGAACCGAGCGACACGGCTGCACAACCCAGCGGAGTACAGGACGCAGAGTTGGACACAAATACGTTCATACACCAAAGAAAATTGACCGAAGGAAACAGAAGTGAGAGTTCTCCACCACCACCACCTCCTATCACTGTACTCGCAAATACCGTATACTACCACAAGACAGTCGAGGCCATGCATCTTAGAGGATGTGTGTGGGTGGGGCAGGATACTACTCGCCCCAATGCCATACTAGTGCGTACAGTGTGTGCGTTGGTGTGCGCGGGTTTGCCCAGGGAGGCGATGAGCCTGGTTGCAACCACCTTCTACGGCATGCCGCTTGCTATGGTGAACGTGCACGTGGGTGGGCGCATGCTGGAGCGCTTCTTGGAAGCGGCACGAAGAGATGCGGAAGCGGAGTGGGATAGGCAGGTACAGAACACGCTGCATAACGCACAGACAAACGAGGATATGGGGCGTGAGGCAGAGGATGAGGACAACTATGTCAGCGGGGTGCCGGCATTCGCTTGCACAATGGTTGGGCTGTTGAAGATGGTAAGAGAATGTGAACACTATACATCACTGCGGCGTGCCTGGTGGTGATATAAGTGCGGATATGGCGGCACACAAAACAACCTGTAATGGAAAATAAACTCTGCAGTCCTGCACTCTATAAACACTTTAGAAGGCTTGCTCTTCAAACCATCTAGATGTCAGCAAACGAACGATGGTTGCACTGTTGGGTGCCACACACGTGTATTGATTGAGAACGACGTAACACAAAACGGTATACTGCTTTCAATCCGCTGAAATTCACAACTTATTGTGCTAGACCTGCAACTGCTGTAATTTCTATTGGTCTCTGAATTGTTGAGCCTTATAAATAAGCTTCCCAAAGGCCATTTACAGTTTCGAACTTTTTTTCTTGAACATAGATTATAAAATTCTCCTTTTAGGGATTGGGCATGTATATATTTTCTTTTTTGGCTTGAAATGTTTATAAAAGTCCTCTTCCGGCTGACGTATGTAATATTACACTTGAGGCTCGGAGCTACAAATGCTTTGCTTAAGCTCTTTTGTGCTAAAATACTGTATAGATATTGTTGATATAACACGTGAGGTTGCGCTGATGGGTAAACGCCAAAGCTAGCGGCGAGTCAACTTTAAAGATCGCGCGGGCTGTGCACCAATAATCATGTTCACAAAAATTTACACCTGTATACCTATAATATAGGTCTGCCATGCTTGTCATGTACATAGAGATCTCGGCAATTATGGGTGCTTCTATAATATTTTGGATCGTCGGATTGCTACTCTCCTAGACAACGTGGTCATATTCACGGAATTAACCCAAAACCTCAGCACATCAGATTCCGATTCGTATCTTCCTGCCTGGTGGCGGCCAGAGCTATACAGTATCGCAAAAATCAGTAAATATTGACCGATTAATTCGACACCTCGAATTGCACCCTGAAGGTGCTTTGTATGAGTACCCGCTAACGGCAGCCATACCGTCGTCATATTATATATCGGCACGATGTGCAAGTCGCGGAAACTGGCTCAATTGGCATCACAAGTCCTCAACACTTGGAATGATGCTCTCGTGTCGGGTTCGAGTGTGTAGTTACTTTTCTACAGTATCAATTATCCCTATTGAAGTAAGCTCTGTTGGGGTTTAGAATTTGAGATTTGAACTGGTACCTGGGTGACTTCTATATAATACTGGAGCAGCCCAGGTATTGAGCATTTAGAGGCTTTTATAGGTTGTATGCTCGTATGTTCCAGGTAAGACGACACTTGCATGGATCTTGCTGTATATACCACTGGTACGTTGTTTGAGGTCCATCTGCCCAGGCTACCGACAGCATAGCGCTTAAGAGCTATGGCATTCTCATTCACAATCGTTTACGATTTAGTCACAACGGGTACGGAGCTATATGTTTCGATTGCGATAGCGCATCCTACGAATACACTCATGTTCGAGTGGACTATAGTGTAAAGCAAAATTTACATAGAACCATGTACGGTTTACAAGCTGGCGGAGGGGATTCTTCATCCCTTTTATCTCTTTTATATGCAAGTTAAAAATGATGCGTATAAAAATCCAACTCTACTGCATCTTTCTTTTGAGAGTATAGATGCCGTAGAACCCACGAGGTATTCAGCAGTCGCAGAGTTATAGGAATATGCATAGTCATTTTATCGAACTTCACACAGATAACTGGAAAGCATTCATAAAAATGCAGGCATTGAGCTGTAGTGAATTGCACAGCATTCCAATGAAGACTCTATTTACATATCTAATTGTATCGATATAACACAGCACAATTCCTTGTCTTTGTACCTGCTGGAGGGTGCAATGCACGAGACGCATGAACTGGCTCAAATTGCCACAAGTTCTCGGCTCCTGGAGTGAAGGACTGGTAGAGGGCTCATATATGTAGTTATCAATCACACTGTCTACCACAGTTTCCAATACCGTCTTTTTAGTTTTTAACACATTTTTTTTTGTTTCAGGAATCAGGAGACTGCGCGTCATCAACTCATCATCACTCAAGAGAAAGAGAAAGAAACCCTTGTGACAATGCAGAAACACTTATATAGCAGCTCTTGTATACTTATTCTCTCACATACATGAAAGCAAGTTCTGATGCGAGGCATAGCTACTGATACAGAAGCGGTTACAATGCCGATAAAACAAAGAATTTAAAAAACACACAGTTTTGCGGTCGTGTTGTCCTGTCGTTTCTCGCTTGCTTTGCACTACACAGCATAACAGAACGGTGTTGTCACTTTTCCATAATATTCAAATTTTCTCCTAGTCGCTTGTGGACCAACAAAATCTCTGCCTAGAGAGGGCGCGAACCAATTATACTACTTGAAAATTCGACCACTTCAGGTTTTTACTAGGTGCCGCAGCCGTGGCGATAGACATGATTCACGCGACTTCTAGAGGGCAATGACGGGGGTTACGTATTGGCAAGTTGAAGCCAAAACCATCCGTATGCTGTTGGTGTGCGAGATCGGTATCGGTTAGCTCATCTTTTTAAATAAGATTGATTGTAGCTACACCTCAACAATACACTCGCATGCCTAATCAACTCTATATTTATTAATTTACTTGCGACGAAGTTATCTACTATATTCTTGTTATCGATATTGTTGAGTTCGTGTTTACGGCACAAGAGCCATCCCGTTACAAACAGCGACGCAGCCGATGCCCATTCTAACTACTTCCCCCCTTATAGGTTACAACGTTTTTATCCGTCTCGTATATTTTGACTTTGTGTAGTAAAGAGTTCGGGATATGCTCCAGAAGGTTGTTGTAGATGAATATCGCCACATTTTCTGTAGTGCTGTGCGAGCAGGCATGCGTGCATAAGGAAGAGCATATTCTTGAGACGAAAAATCATTCCATATCAAAGCAGACAGCTGCAAAAATTCTTACACCATAATTGTAACACCAATGTCTATTAGTCCGTAATAAAACATCGTTGTGATGGAGACAAGCCACGGAGGTTAAAAGCGCGCTCACGTTCTAATACGAACATACCTTACGACGTTCTTAAAATATGGCACATCCTTGTCCAAATTTTTGTGATCCATGACGTCGTGGATCGCAAGTTTCATATACTCTTTTAAATCTGTTATATTTATTACCATGCCGGTGGTCTCATCAACCTGTTCAGTTCGGTACCCAAATAATGAGGAAATAAGAATTATACGTGATCAGAAGGTAAACGTAGGAAAATGTAGGTCGATGAAGAACAACTCATACAAACACTAGCCAAGAAAATAACATCCTTGGCGGTGATTAGCAATACTTGCTAAACAAGCACTGTAATGTACAATATGTTTCGGCTATCTTGTACTGTAGTGCGTCATATTACGTGCAGTTTGACCCGGCTGTTGGCGATAAACCGAGCCGTTCGGAAGATATTTTTTTTTTTGCGAATTTTCCCTAAAATAAAAAGATATCAACACAGAAGCAAACATACCTGGCCTCGCACCACGACTTCGACTGGTTTCCAGATTATTGTATGGCAGCCAAAATATTGTTTCGGAGCGATAAGTGGATAAGAATGTTAGTTCTTCGTCCAGCATGCATTGAAGTGGTTGATTGCTCGTAAAACAACAATTTTATCATATTATACATATTGCTACATTCATCTAAAAAGGGGGGGGAAATGATAACTGCACCATCCTTTGTGACTCTATATGATATGTATTCGTTCGCTTTCAAATCAACATATGCCAAGACGAATCATCGATAGCACACGAGGCTATTCAGAACAAATGTCCGGAGTGAACGTCATATCTTTACAATCGAAGATTAGCTTTAGAAATGTATACTATGTACGGAATTACGGTAACTAGGAACTGGTCGCAATTTTTTTCACGCAGATAATATGGCATTGATTATAGAGAAGTATAAACAGAAATTTAAAAGACACCTACGAAAAATATTTATATCCTGTGCTCGAAACTCATTACCAATTGTCGACAATGATGGCTACCGATAGATCAATACTGCACACATATTAAGCACATTTCTTTGAATTGAACGTTTGCAAATCAAAACAAGATGGTTGCAGACCGAACAAACGTCATCGATCGATACCTTTTCACCACGCATATTATTAACACCCATAACAGGCATATCAATGTAACTACGTGTTTAAAAAACATTTCCAAGGTCATATATACCAAAATACACGTACACAAAATAGTAAAAATATACATATTGTCTGGAACAACGTACCAAGGCAAGCATAAATTAATAGATAAACTAGTTCATATTTTCAAAAACAGGCAATTCTAGATGTAAATGTAGATATATAAACAGAGCTAGCAACGAAAAAGAAACTTGAATACTACCGAATAGATAAATCATACATATTGAGTATATGAATTAAATATTGTTAGAATACGTACATATATTATTTGAAAACATGTACACAATAATTTACAATTGAAACAGACATAGGAATGTGCACAAACATAACCACATCAACAAAAGCACATCGAAACATACGAATATACAGACATACTACTAATACAATTATGAATATGACTGACAATGTCAATGCATATATATATATATATATATATATATACCTACATACATATATATAGATATAAATATACATATATATAGTATAATATATATATATATATATATATA